TCTGTAACAGGTCATAGACGGAAATTGATCAGTAAAAATCCTTCCGCCGCACATGTGTTGGGTGAGTTGGTTTAAACGCCGCTTTAAACATTATTGCAGTTATATCACGACGTGTCAGCTTAATGGGGAGCTAAGCCCTAAGTGATGCAGGTCTCAGACGTCTACCACTTCGGTGAAACCCACGAGCACGGATATGGTGCTGACAAACCTAGAAACATAATCGGGACGAACCGGGATTCGAACCCACAATCGCGCCCTATAGAAGACCGGGCCACCCGTGTAAACCGACAGACCACTTTACATCAGGCTCATCATTTTCAACATTGATGTCTCCGAATCATCGCCTCCATCGTCTTACACATCATTGGTACCCATGAGTTCTTCAACCTACAATCCCCTAACCGCATTCACATAGTCATTCCAATTATTTAAATAAATGTGAATTCAGATTTAGGATAAGGATTTGGAGAGCAAACTTTCCACCGTTCTGAGTCCCGTTTCAAACCAATTGTTTGCCTGATAACTCGGAAGATAATGTTTGCAGGACCGCACTGTCGATAGGTTTCTAACGCCCTGTAGAAATATAGAATCTGATCATGGATACAGGAGTTATAGTTGTTATATGACAGACGCCGAAATAACCACACATGATGAAACATTGTCACCTTTCTGAGTTCCATTTTGAAAAAACTCGTCTTCCTGATTGAAGTGTCAGAACCGCATTGTCAAGGATTTTTTTAACGCCCTGTTTATATAGATAAATATTCTGATAATTGGTATGTAGCAGGTATAGCGACCGTTCCGTCGCGCATATACAAAGCAGAATAAGATTGACACTTTCAGGAGAGTCCATTTGAGTAACATTTAGTCACGTAAATATAGTTATCTTATTTATACAAAGGGACAGACAGACAGACAGACACGGTTGACCCAGTCGTTTTAGGCGGCACAATTCGCAGTGAAGAGTTGCGTCCCCTGGGCGTGCAAGAAATCAATAATCGTAGGTTCGAATCCCAGCACTATACAATATTTCGTATTTTCCTCCCACATCAAGCTGACACACCGTGGTATAACCGAAATACTGTTACAAGGGGCGCGAAATAATAGTCATTCAGGATATTCTTTTTGACGATCCTTTATCGATAAATTACTAGTATATCAGATAACCAACGACTCTTTAACCCACAGATTTAGCTCCTACTTAACGGACTTAAGTATGCACATGTGTTATTGCTGTGACTGAGTTAAATACCTGGGCGCATTCATCAAATTTCATGTTCAGTAAAGATTTTGAAATAACCAATACGAAATGCAACAGCGACAAGGCGACACTTCATCACTATGTCAGCGGCCGACATGTTTTACAAATACAACATTCAAAATGGTGGCTACCGTCGCGATAGCTTCGATGCTATGTTTGCTTGTGATAAGGTTGAGGAACTGGTCAGTAGTTCTTGGTAATTTTTTACAAATACAACATTCAAAATGGTGGCTACCGTTGCGATAGCTTCGATGCTATGTTTGCTTGTGATAAGGTTGAGGAACTGGTCAGTAGTTCTTGGTAATTTTCCGATCAAAACACAAACATGAGTTCATGGTCTGATGGTTCTTAACAAGCCAAAATGATGTCTCATGCAGGGCGAGGGCCAGGCAAGTCGGGTTCGACCAGTTTAAAAATATGTTCCCATGGTAAAGTGAGAAGTGCAGACTTGCAGTCAATAGATCGAGTCGTTACAGTCAATAGATCGAGTCGTTACAGTCAATAGATCGAGTCGTTACAGTCAATAGATCGAGTCGTTACAGTCAATAGATCGAGTCGTTACAGTCAATAGATCGAGTCGTTACAGTTAATAGATCGAGTCGTTACAGTCAATAGATCGAGTCGTTACAGTCAATAGATCGAGTCGTTACAGTCAATAGATCGAGTCGTTACAGTGATTGATGTCATGAACATCGATCCATGCTGAAGACATAGCCTACTTAATTTCTTAGGGCACCAACGCCCGAATGGAACAATTTTGTGACTGTTGTCGTATGGTTGGTTTTGTTGGTTTGTTGTTTAACGCCGCACTCAGCAATATTCCAGCTAAATAACGGCAGTCTGTAAATAATCGAGTCTGGACCAGACAATCCAGTGATTAATATCATGAACATCGATCCACGCAATTGGGATCGATGACATGCATCAACCATGTAACCGAGCCTGACCACCCGACCTCGCTTCTTACGACAAGCATAGTCGCCTCTTACGCCAAGCATGGGTTGCTCGAGACCTTATTCTACTCCGGATCTTTACGCGGAAACAATGCTTTGTCGCAGGATAAAGTATTGTCGGTGCCTTTGATCTTTTAGGGAAGCATCTTAGAATAAAAATAAAGTCATATTTTACGGACGGTGATAAGGTAGATTTCTTTAACCAATGACGTAGGCTTAATTTTTTACCTCAACGTGCAATCTGAGACGAAATAAGGTGAGACTGTAGTAAGACTTCTAGTATCACTCCACACTGTATTATCTTAGAGTGATCGGCACAAGCAGCCGAGCGCCAAACTATGACATGCTCCTAACCAGACACGTCACACTGACGTCATAACTCGCCCCTTCGCCAGTCAAGGCGTTTCTTGCGTTTCTTGACTGGCAGTGGGACGTGTCACTCGTGTTAGGACGTAAACGGTGGGTAAGTTTTCCGCTTGTACTTCAGAATTTTGTTAGGAAATTAAATGAAACAAACATTGTAAATATTTTAAGATTGATGTACAACAGAATACATTTTGAAGGAATCAGGTGCTTGCTTCACACAATGTTTACACCCAGACGTTTGTTTAGCCTGTCACCGGGGATAACAAACGTCTGGATGTAAACATTCATACCTCGTTTCAACTGAAAAGCTTGTTCTATTTTAATCAGTATATTGCATAATATATGCTTGTAAGTTTCATCTCTGAACTAATAACAATTATTTACAACTGGGACTGAAGACTATATGAGATGATTCTAAATCTGTTCAGTCAAGTGTCGGATGTGTTTTTTCGCTCATATTTTTAAAACGTTGTCCTGCATCACAGAACGGCCAAATGTGTCAGCCATATTATTTTTACACTCAAGGCCTGCAGCTTTGTTCTTCGAATCCGGAAAATATTATCAGGAACAAATGTATTTTTGCATTGCTTTTGAAGAATTGCAAGGAAATGTAGAATATATAAGAGAAAATGTGCATGATTCTCATTATTTTATGACTAAGGTAAAACGGACGTTAAATGCGAAAACAATTTGGCGCATGTCACACGGGCAATCGGCATTTCAGTCTTATCACTTTATAGAGCCACATGTTTATTCCCTTCTTTACACAACCAAACACCGTATCAAACATCTTGTAGTGCCGGCGACAGGTTCTGCCTCAGATAGTAAGCTAATCTGTGATGAATGTACTGCCGCCATCGCTCGGAATGCTGAATTATGACAGTGTTGCAAATGGTTTTCCTGACACTGAATTACTACTGTGTTGCACACGCGCGTAGTCAAGTAGACCTGTTGCTCTTTTACATTGATTGTGTATCATCAAGAAAATGTCCTCACTGAAATATTAATCTGTAGCATGTCGTATATCGACGTTTGTAATACTGTGTAGCCCGAGACACCAAACGACGTAAAATGCACCAGTTTCAGAGTCTAGTTAAGAGAGTGTTTGTATTGGGGAGGGTGGGGACTAAAACATCAAGCAAAGTCACTTGGAACAACAAATAATTTACGATAGGTCGCAGCACTCTACATTTAGTAGCCTGTTATCATCAATTGGCAAAGGCAATATGGACCCAGAGAAACCATCAAGACAGTTGTCGATTTGACGATGTAACAATTGTGTAAAATGCCCATTTTCCACAGACGTTGAAATGCACGAGCAATATATTTTCCTCCAGAATTACACTGGTGGGCGTCATATCCTGGTCAAAATATATATAACGATGTGCATTGATTCTCACTCGCAACAAATACCCGAGTATTATTTAAATATGCAGTAGTAATAACATAGCAGGCAATGAAAATTAGAAAACAATGTTCAGTATTTGACCTGTATGAGCGAAGTAGGTTTGCTATTCACAGTATTGATACTCAAATGCAGATATTATGCAACAACGCACCAACTTGCGGGGACCATTTCATTGTCATAACGATTCCACCAACAACTAACGAAGTCAGACTAAAATACTAATCATTCCATAATTGAGAATTAAGGGTATGTAGCTGATGTAATACCATGTTGTAAAGTTCCAAAATAATAAATGCACATAGTCTGTGTATTCTGTGTACAACAATATAAACTAACATGTTTAGTCCTTAGTCCTCATAATGGTAACATATAAAACCCTAAAGAATGACATATGTCTACTAGCCTAGTCGTTATGATATCTGAACTATTGCGATGTTTGGCAAGGAATATAGGACGAGTGCCAATTTCTATCGCTGATGTAGTAATGTTCATTTTTGTTGTATGTTGTATGATTATATTATTATGACAACAAAATAACAATATATTCAGTTCCTGCAACTTCAACCAAGAGAAGAGATATATCTCAGAAGTGATAAAAGCAATCTAAATCTAATAAATATAAGTGATTTCCAAAATTTGTCAGTCACCATGCTATGATATATGAATAAGCCTCTACTGCAACAAATGTATTATAAGTTAAGTTCATCAGTGAATAAATTTGAAAGTCACACATTTGTTGAAAGGCAAAAGCTTCTCTGAGGCCAGTAGTTATAATGTTTACCTGCAATATATAGTTTTCTGAACAGCATATATGGGGGTTTTGGGTGGTGGGTAGCCTAGTGGTTAAAGCATTCGCCCTTCGCGCGGAAAAACTGGGGTCGATTCCCCCACATGGGTACTATGTGCGAAGCCCATGTCTAGTGTTCCCCGCCCAGATATTGCTGGAATATTGCTAAGAACCTGTAAAACCCAACTCACCCAACCCAACTGAACAGCATATTTTGTGTTTCAGCCTCGAGCGACCGGAGCCACGGAGAAAGGGCTGCACAGATGACGACAGTGACGACCCATGGTAGGTGGGAGAACCCAGCAGGTGGTAGATACTGTCACTGTCCAACTTTGTACGAGATGAGGTCACATCAACATGTAACAAATATAAGCCTGAAAAAAAACTTCATATGAACAGTCTCTACAATAACAAGCTGATAAATGTAGTCTCTTATTATTCTAATAATTTGAAACAAGTCAATTGTATTGCCAGTACCACCATAAGGCTCAATCCAACAAGCCTGTACAGACGCGCGGCTCAGATGAACAGCAATCTCAATTTTTGTGTTGTATATTTATGATAGGCGTTTGAGTGATTTATTAGTCGCTAGACTACCTTATAATAATACCTCTACTAAGATGAATGGTTTTGAAATTGTATTCATCAGTCAAAATAGTAAAAACCTAAACTTTGTCGAATATCTGATATGTATAATGCTTATGTGGTCTGTATTGTTTTCTGAACAGCATGTTCTGTGTTTCAGCCTCGAGTGACCCGAGCCAGACCGCGAGGACAGCAGTGACGACCACAAAAAAGCCTGCTACACAGGGTAGGTGGGAGAAGCCAGCAGGTAGAAAGCCCACACTTTAATCCCTCCAACAATTAACAAGCTGGGGTATAGACCCGTGAGGGTTCTGACTTGTGTCTTGCATGTCATCGTATCCCAGTTGTGTCGATCGGTGCTCATGTTGTCAACCACTGGACTGTCTGTCTGTACCAGACTCCGCCATCTTATTGCTGGACTATTGCTGAGTGCGGCGTAAAACAACAAACACACAGACTGACATACTCCAATGTCATGTCTTATAAGATCTATCTAATATTTCCAAACAACTGTACTGACAGTATCATCTCATAAAGCTCAGTTCATCAAACGTTGACACTCGCCATCCACACACAGAATAATGTTACAACAACTGGATGTGACAGAAAGATTTTAAACATTGACCACATAATCCTTGATTACATGAACCAGCTGTCGTCCTTCCCCTTGATCCTTGTGTTGTCAGCCATGTTGGAAGTGGTTGATGACGTACCGTGTCACGTGTCACCACGTTGAGGTGTGAACCATGTCGATGTATGACGAAGATGTCTGGAAGTGTACAGAGTTTACTTGTGTTACAGCGACTCCATCACCAGCAGACTGCGAGGACCTCGTTGACGCCAGCTTGACCGGGAACCTGGAGGAGGTGAAGCGGCTCCTGTCTCAGGGCGTGGACGTCAATTGTAGGTGGGGGAGGAGCAGGACACCGGTGATGGGGGCAGCATGGAGGGGACAGAGAGACGTGGTGGAGCTCCTGGTGAGTGAAGGGGCCGATGTGTCACTGGTGGACGGGGTCGGTTACAACACCCTTCACTGGGCCTGTAGTAGAGGAGACATGGAGACGGTGAAGTTTGTGCTGTCTCTGCACGTGGTGGACATCGACGCCAGGACCAAATACGGGGAGACGGCGGCCGACCTGGCGAGATCAAGGGGACATACGCGAGTGTTGGATCTCCTCGTGTCCCGCGGCGCTCAGTGACGTCAGTGTCGTGTTTGTGTGGACGGTGGGGGAGACCTGACAGTGACGTGGTGTGCCGTTCACGTCGTCGTGTGTACATATGTCTTTATTTACGTGAAACTGTTTCTTGTTTTTGGAGATGAATAAAACTTGTAAAAACTTTGTCAGACATTTTGTCATTTGTTGTGTTTGGAACTTCGCATCATCAGGTAAGAAAATTGTTATCTGAGTGTAAATAGAGATGATGTGTGATTGGTATGTAAACAGCGCACCTCGTGATATGTTCATGTATGTCGTCATATATTTCTGTGTTAGTTTTACGGCAGAAGTTTGTAATTAATCGTGAAAAACACAAAAAACCTGTTTGTTTACATCTCGCTGCACTCGGTGACGTCAGACCGAGGCGAGGTTCGCCCAGCTGACGTGGCGCCAAATGTACAATGACAGTGACGTCACACTGTCGATGACGTCACGGCATTCCGGCTTAGGTCTAAACACTAAAGCTGCCTGCTGTTTTCTCTGCTAAATACGATATCGGTAATTCACAGGGCGGCACAATGCTGGCTTCGCGACATATGCAAGTACAGCACAGGCCTCATGTGGGCGATATAGATTAACAAATGGAGATGTGTTGCATATTATTGCTGCTGAAATTTAAAAAGAAATATTTCTGATTGGCGAGATATTTATTTTCTCTCTCCCATTTCACCATTTCAATCAAGCTACTTCCCAGCGGGTGACACCTTCTTTACACTCTCGTCTTACGACTGACCAGATTCCCCCGATGAATTCAGAGCTATAGATAGGGTTTGGGTTATTTGTTGTTTTTCACCCAGGGGCAGGATGCCAGAGGGATATATATTTCCCTCCTCTTCAAACCTCACTTTGAAGTCGAATAAAATTCAAAATACATCAGACACGCAGATACACTTCACAGTTTTGTATACTGTGAACTTTCCGCCATATTAGATAGTGATTACAAAATCACATTTCACATGTAGCCTACCGGTAATAAGACGCCTGTAACATTACGCGTATTTCAAACTCAGCTGTGATACATACATCCTTGAATTCCTCATACATTTTAGAATCAAATGACACATGGTCTCTGTCGCCAATATAAAGTGCCGAGATCAAATCAAGCAAAATAAGTTAGGTGTGAAAACAACGCTGTGCTCGAAAAACTGCACTTGTTTGAAATGTAAACAAAGGTAAATACGTATTTTACAGTGCAGCATTTTCCCCTTTTTTAGCTATCCATTCGTCTATTCGTTCAGAATATGCATGAGAAGAGAATTATAGGAAGAATTAGGAATTAAAAATAGATACATTGCTATGATTTGATATTTTTCAACAGAAATTACTTGGGAGTGTCAAAGTCAATATTATAAGTTCATATTAACAACTTCCATGAATAGCCGTTTCATTTTATTTTAAAACTTAAAGTGAATATATTACTTTAACCAAATGGATATTTTGCGTTAAAATATACGCACACATTTCCAGGAGAATTGTCTTGGTCTTGGAATAGTTTTTTTAGGTCGTTTGATAAACACAACAGTGATATCTAACGATTCGCAGGTGCGCGTTGTCACAAACGATTTACGAATTATTCCTCTCGTTTTGTATTATACAACCAAAATGTTCATCTTTTTCTAAATATTGTGATCACAGGATATTAAACTAATTACTTTATTTCTCCAAGAATTGTAAAAAGTAATTAGGGGAGGTAAATATATATGAATCAAACTACCAGTGTCGTCTTTCTCCGACGCTGTCAAAGACATACAACCAGCCATGACATCAAATAGAACGGTGTCATGTTTTAAGTATTTCATTACATTTGATCACAAGACTAGTACTCCATTAATAATGGTGCAACATAAGCCAAATTACACTTGACCAGTCAGAAAAATGTTGTGATCTGAGGACTAATTAACAGCTTACATAGGGCCATTCATTTCGCTATTACTTCTTTTTTTATTAAGTAAGTTTCATCATTTCTTACGGTAATATAAGGGAGTATACAGTTTTTCAATATCGATATTTGTGTTGGAATAGTTTGGTTACTCGTGAACAAAATACCACGAAAATATACTGTCCCACATCTAATGCTCACCAGGTGACCTGAGTTAAAATAAACTGGAACTAAGCATAGCTGAGTTATGCCCCCTTTTCTTTTTTCGTGTGTAACCTATCTGTCGCCTTTTGACGTCATAGAGAAAAATCAGTTTTCGTCATTTACGGCAGGCTATTTTTTGCATTAAATGTATGTCAGGCAGACAGACAGACACACAGACACACAGACAATTTATTCAATAAAAGCCACTGGCCCAAAATACATACATATGCAGGAATACATAAAGCCTGCGCAAAATGATATTTACATTATTTACATTTGTTTTTGTTTTTATTCTTATAAATTCGCAGTGGATTATTTACTATTTACCCTAAGTTGATGAGCTTTGGTTAAGAAAAATAGATATTTTATATAAGGTATCATATGCATCTGAGGAAATAATAGAGATACAGTTACCGTATTCGACGTAATAAGCGCCCCGCTCTAATAAGCCCATGGCGATATTTCCTAATTAGCACCCCTTCCGATTGATCAATGTACACAAGACTTATTGATTCGTGTATAATACTCACTCGTGTGTTATATGCACCCTTAATTGTGGGCAATTAAATTCTGGAAAAATATATCTCTCGTGTATGATACGTACATACTTTTCTTTTGAATCATTTCAGGCTGTCAGCATAAACTACTGTACGAAATTCACAATTTTTCAACTCTGTTTTTGTTCTCACCAAAATTATATTCTAATAAGAGCCCACTATTTCCGGGCGCTTAATACGTCGAATACGGTATGTAATATATTTATCTAAACGTGCATAACCGGAGCTGTAGGATTCACAAATTATTAATAAGTCTTTCTTCATATATATAGTTAGGCATGGTATCTTCCAGTATTTACTGCTATTGGAAAGTTACTTAAAATCCTTTTTAAGTGAGATGGAAGTGGTGAATTTAAGTAATATTCAACACTTAGTAGCGATTTAAAATGTTTATAGGAATGAGTCAGATAAACTGTTCACATTTACATTCCAGGTTTGCTGTCTCTGTTTAAACATGGAAATAAAAACAATCTTATCCCCAACTTCTTGTGCTATAGTTTTAATGTGTGTGGCCCAGGTGGTGCGACCTGAATCATCCAGAACAGCTAGCATCTTGTAACACTGATATATGGTAGTCTCTCCGGGCCCAGGTGGTCCAGGTGGTCCAGATGGTGCGACCTGAATCATCCAGAACAGCTGGCATCTTGTAACACTGATATATGGTAGTCTCTCCGGGCCCAGGTGGTCCAGGTGATGCGACCTGAATCATCCAGAACAGCTAGCATCTTGTAACACTGATATATGGTAGTCTCTCCGGGCCCAGGTGGTCCAGGTGGTCCAGGTGGTGCGACCTGAATCATCCAGAACAGCTGGCATCTTGTAACACTGATATATGGTAGTCTCTCCGGGCCCAGGTGGTCCAGGTGGTGCGACCTGAATCATCCAGAACAGCTGGCATCTTGTAACACTGATATATGGTAGTCTCTCCGGGCCCAGGTGGTCCAGGTGTTGCGACCTGAATCATCCAGAACAGCTAGCATCTTGTAACACTGATATATGGTAGTCTCGCCGGGCCAAGGTGGTCCAGGTGATGCGACCTGAATCATCCAGAACAGCTAGCATCTTGTAACACTGATATATGGTAGTCTCTCCGGGCCCAGGTGGTCCAGATGGTGCGACCTGAATCATCCAGAACAGCTGGCATCTTGTAACACTGATATATGGTAGTCTCTCCGGGCCCAGGTGGTCCAGGTGGTCCAGGTGGTGCGACCTGAATCATCCAGAACAGCTAGCATCTTGTAACACTGATATATGGTAGTCTCTCCGGGCCCAGGTGGTCCAGGTGGTCCAGGTGGTGCGACCTGAATCATCCAGAACAGCTGGCATCTTGTAACACTGATATATGGTAGTCTCTCCGGGCCCAGGTGGTCCAGGTGATGCGACCTGAATCATCCAGAACAGCTGGCATCTTGTAACACTGATATATGGTAGTCTCTCCGGGCCCAGGTGGTCCAGGTGATGCGACCTGAATCATCCAGAACAGCTAGCATCTTGTAACACTGATATATGGTAGTCTCTCCGGGCCCAGGTGGTCCAGGTGGTGCGACCTGAATCATCCAGAACAGCTAGCATCTTGTAACACTGATATATGGTAGTCTCTCCGGGCCCAGGTGGTCCAGGTGATGCGACCTGAATCATCCAGAACAGCTAGCATCTTGTAACACTGATATATGGTAGTCTCTCCGGGCCCAGGTGGTCCAGGTGGTCCAGATGGTGCGACCTGAATCATCCAGAACAGCTGGCATCTTGTAACACTGATATATGGTAGTCTCTCCGGGCCCAGGTGGTCCAGGTGGTGCGACCTGAATCATCCAGAACAGCTAGCATCTTGTAACACTGATATATGGTAGTCTCTCCGGGCCCAGGTGGTCCAGGTGGTCCAGGTGGTGCGACCTGAATCATCCAGAACAGCTAGCATCTTGTAACACTGATATATGGTAGTCTCTCCGGGCCCAGGTGGTCCAGGTGGTTCGACCTGAATCATCCAGAACAGCTGGCATCTTGTAACACTGATATATGGTAGTCTCTCCGGGCCAAGGTGGTCCAGGTGATGCGACCTGAATCATCCAGAACAGCTAGCATCTTGTAACACTGATATATTGTAGTCTCTCCGGGCCCAGGTGGTCCAGGTGGTCCAGATGGTGCGACCTGAATCATCCAGAACAGCTGGCATCTTGTAACACTGATATATGGTAGTCTCTCCGGGCCCAGGTGGTCCAGGTGGTCCAGGTGATGCGACCTGAATCATCCAGAACAGCTAGCATCTTGTAACACTGATATATGGTAGTCTCGGGGCCCAGGTGGTCCAGGTGGTCCAGGTGATGCGACCTGAATCATCCAGAACAGCTAGCATCTTGTAACACTGATATATGGTAGTCTCTCCGGGCCAAGGTGGTCCAGGTGATGCGACCTGAATCATCCAGAACAGCTAGCATCTTGTAACACTGATATATGGTAGTCTCGGGGCCCAGGTGGTCCAGGTG